GTAAGCATCTTGCAGATATTTATCACAACTTATACCCGGGTAGTCTTCATGTGTAGCTAGCACATCTGTTGTACTTGTGGATATGATCCACTGCCGAGTTCTTAAGTTGGGCCCTAGAGTCACACCAAGTGCGTACTTGAATCCTATGAAACACAATTTATAGAGTGATGTGTATGATTGATACGCATATATAATTTTACCGGATACACATAAACGGTTATGTATATCGATAAAATCGAAATGCTATGTGCTTAGGAAATGAATTCTAGTATTTTTCCTATAAAGTTAACTTTTAGTCAACTTGTTGACTTTTTGGTCAATAGTTGACTTTTGGTCAACTCGTTGACTTTTTGGTCATATGATGACTTATTAATCAATGATTGGAAAAATTACAAAATATCGTATTTATGAAATATAATATTTATTTGGTATTCTCATTTATAAAATACACATACCATGTATAATGAGTCATGAGATGAGTCATTTAGTGGTATGGTTTGAGCACATGATTTATTAGCACATGGTTTTGAAATGTAATGATTCATAAGATGATTCATTGCATGACTCACTAGATTAATCATTGATATTTGATGATTCATTGCATGACTCATAGGATGAGTCATTCATGTCATGAACACATTTTACTCTATAAATATGAGCTTTTTTTCTTATGAAAATGCTAATGAAAAATTGGCTAAGTGGTTTTTTCCATAAGAGAATAAAAGAGAGATCTCCTCTTACTAAACTCTAGCAATCTTTGAGCAAGAGGAAGTAGTAGGATTTTAAAGTATCCCGGGATGGATATCTTACCTTGTGTCTCAAGAAGACTCCGATTTTATCAAGCTCACTTGAAGACTTGGAGATCCACTACGAAGAGATTTACTACTACAAGGAGATTTTCTACTACAAGGAGCAAGAGCTAAGGGTTGTTCGATCTTCCATCGAATCACACTTTGAAAGTATGACTTTCTAACTCTTGAATGCTCTCTTTAATATAGGTATTATGTTAGATTTAATTAGGATGGTATGACTTTCTAACTCTTGAATGCTCTCTTTAATATAGGTATTATGTTAGATTTAATTAGGATGGTCCTATTATGTATTTCATGCTCTCTACATGCTTAGCATAATTATACATATAGTCTTTCGTTGTGTATTTTGCATGTATTTAGCATGAATTTCCTTCAGAGATCATTCTCACTGTTACTTATGCCATTAATATCACTCCATCTAGTTCTCTTTCTGGTGCTACTTCTCATAGTAGTGTTTATACTCATCCTCCCCGTTATGATCTGGTACGGGTTTTTGGTTGTCGCTGTTTCGTTCTTCTGCCATCTCATGAACGTGATAAATTGTCTCTCAGAGCTGTTCTCTGTGTCTTTGTAGGATTTAGTTTAGAACATCGAGGTTGTCGTTGTTATGATCACGCATCTCGTCGACTTCATATATCTCAACACGTTCAGTTCGAAGAGGATTCTCCATTTTATTCTGCTTCTGATGATTTCAACTTCCTCCATACTACTGATCGTGCTTCTCTGCCAGCTTCATCATCCACTTCCTTACCTCAGTTCTCCTTTTGAGATTTCCCTGAAATCTGTCCATCTCCTGCTGTTGACTCTCCCTCACCCGATCTTTCTCTTCCACCATCTGATCCCTATCCCGTAGACACAACACCCACTCCAGAAAATACTATTGACCTCCATACACCTGCACCAGTATCTCCCTCTCCTGAGGTTCCTCTTGATCTTCGTCGAGGCAAACACACACATGTCATGTTTGGACGATATGATTTGGTTACTTCCTATTCATCTATCTTTCATAATTTTCTTGATGTCATTCATACTACAATTGAGCCAAAGTCCTTTCAAGAGGTCGTTCAATTTTCAGAGTGACGACGGGCTATGGCTGAGGAATTTCAGGCCTTTCAGCGAACACATACCTGGGATGTTATTCCATGTCCCACTGGCATCTCTTTAGTTGGCAGTAAATAGGTTTATAAGGTCAAGTATCGTCCTGATGGCACCATTAAACATCAGAAAGCTCATTTAGTGGCTCGAGGTTTTACTCAGCAACAAAGTATTGATTATGAGGAGACATTTGCTCATGTTACTTAGATACCCATCGTTCGTACTCTTCTTACGGTTGCTGCTGCTCATTGTTAGACCTTATACCAGATGGATGTCAAAAATACTTTTCTTCATGGCTCTTTATTTGAGACAGTATATATGCAACCGCCTCCAGAGTCCAATATTCCTCCAAGACATGTATGTCTCCTTCGCCATGCTGTTTATGGTCTTAAGCAGGAACCCCGCGTTTGGTTTGAGTGTTTACACGATGTCGTGCTCAAGGCGGTCTTTATGGAAAGTCATCAAGATGCTTCTCTGTTTGTTCGCACTACATCACGTGGCAGAGTTTTATTACTCATCTATGTAGATGATATGATCATTACAGGTGATGAGTGGCTGGTATATAATACGCAAAATCTCAGTTGTAACAACAGTTCTACATAAATGATCTTGGATCTCTTTGGTATTTTCTTGGTCTAGAAATTTCTCAAGACCCGCTAGGTGTACTACTGTCTCAATAGAAGTATCTCTCGGATATTCTAGATCGAGCTAAGCTAAGTGATGATGTAACTGCCGATACTCCACTCCAATAGAATGTCAAACTTCGCTCTACCGATAGTGAGCCTCTATCTGATCCTACCTGATATTGACATCTTGTTAGCCAGTTGGTTTATCTGTGCATCTCTTGATCAGATATCTCTCATGTTGTTGGCATTGTCAGTCAATTTGTTAGTGCCCCACGTTCTGTACACTATGCTGCCTTATTATGGATTCTTCTGTATCTCCAGGGTACTTGCACTCGCTCTCTTATGTTTTCTGCTACATCCAAGATAGAGCTTGTGCATATTCTGATGCTGATTGGGCTGGTGATCCCACTACCAGGAAGTCTACCACATGTTATTATATATTTCTTGATGATTCCCTAATTTCCTAACGGAGTAAGAAACAAGATGTTGTTGCTCTTTCCAGCACCGAGGCAGAGTATCGTGTAATGTCCATAACAGCTAAAGAGATTATTCATCTTTGTCGTCTTCTCAGTGATTTTGGTATTTCTGTTTCGACTTCTACTCCTCTATACTGTGATACTAATAGTGCCATCCAGATTGCTAATAATCTAGTATTTCATGAGAGGACCAAACACATTGAGATCGACGCTCATTTTGTCCATCAACAAGTTATCAAGGACAAGATAATTCTACTTCCTCATGTGTCATCCGCCGACGAGCTTGCAGATTTCTTCACAAAGGCCTTACATGTTCATCGGTTTTAGTTTCTTGTATGCAAACTCACTTTGTTTGATCCAACATGAGTTTGAGGGGGGTTGTTGATAATAGTGTATTATAGTAGGTTTTAGTCCCACATTGGTTGTGAGAACACACCTCACCCTCCTCTACTTGTATAAATATATGTGTACACTCAATATTCAACTTAAGGGGAAATTTACCCAAGACTTTCTCTCTCTTACTTTAACACACTTGATTGTAAAGTATGCACCGAAAGACATGACATGGAAAGGATGAGTATGAGTAAGTCGAGTTCTCGTACCCCCTATGCCCAGGGGATGGATTAGCGGGTTAAGTTCTTGAGAGTGTTTTGTATTTTGGCAGGAAAACACATTCATTGAGCGCAATGTGAAAGTACAAATTTCCTGAGAGTGTTTTGTATTTTGGCAGGAAAACACATTCATTGAGCGCAATGTGAAAGTACAAATCGAGATGGCAGGTAGGATTGTTTAGGGGAGGTTGACCCATCGCTCGCCATGGAGGCGTCTACCGGTAAATTCAGAGTTTTTTTTTTAAAAAAGAACACGTTCAGACTATAGTATCACGTAGCCGCTTACTGGACAATGGATGAAGTGTCCTCTAGCCTGCTGGAATTTGGATTGAAAGGACTTATCCTAAGGGAACTAACCTATTAACAGCGGCAACTCAATGGTTAAAATTGACTGCACTATCCACACGTGAAGTTTTAAGACCAATACTTGAAATGTCTTGAATTATTTTTAGGGACAAATTTTCAAAACAATCCCTTTTGCAATTTTAATCCCAAAAAACGATCCCTTTAATTTTTATTTGTAAAAACCGACTTGGTTTCAGCCTTAGCGTTGAAACCAGGTCGGTTTTTACAAAAAAAGTTCTGAAACTTCATGGGAGTAGAACTCCCGTGAAGTTTAGCAGCTTTTAATTAAGCTGCTAAACTTCACGGGAGCTGAACTCCTTGAAGTTTCTTAGTTCAAAAATAAATTTTTGAACTGTAAAGTTTAGCAGCTTAATTAAAAGCTGCTAAACTTCACGGGAGTTCAACTCCCGTGAAGTTTCAGAACTTTTTTTGTAAAAACCAACCTGGTTTCAGCCTCAACGCTGAGGCTGAAACCAGGTCGGTTTTTACAAATAAGAGAGAAATGAGTTTTTTTTTTTTTGGAATAAATTTGCAAAAGAATTTGTTTTGAAAATTTTTCCTTATTTTTAGAGATAAAAAGGTCAGCATGTGTGCCCATCGCAAATTCGCGGGGCGAGCATGACGAACCAAAAGAGGCAAGATAGGCCACGGTTATGCTCACCGACCGTGAATACCCAAATTCACAATTCAATAACAATAATAATAAGGACCACAACAACAACAACAACAACAAGTAATGTCCTGTTAAGATACTAAATCCATGATTAGCAGGCTTCATTGGATTGGGAATCTGTACATATTTATTGGTCTAGTCTGCTTGGAATGCATTGCATTGGGAAATTCATTTGTTTGGATTTGTTTACGTCTAATATCCCCTTTTTATTATAAAAAATACTATTAAACAGTGAGAGGGTTTGAGCGGTGACGAGATCTCAAATATCGTCCTCCCCACCCTACTTTTTATCCAACTAGACACGTCCACGTTGTATTCTCCTCCCCTACTTTTTAAAAATTATATTAAAAAAAAAACATATTTACAAACGGAAACTGAAATCTAAAAACCACCTCCATCCGTCCCCCACAAACCCAAAAAAAAAAACAAAAAAAAAAAGAAAAATTCTTTCTCTCGTCTTTATTTCGTCCGTCTCTTTCCTTTTTCGCCCCCCGAAACAAACGACCGAGACGTGAGAAAAACCACCCATCGTATTCCCCCCTCCTTCCTGTTCGTCGCCTCGGATTGCAAAAAAGGGTGTTCCGGGGGACACGTGTACGGCCGAGGATGAGTCTAGGGTTCCGCCGGTGGGGGACGTGGGAGGAGCTTGTTCTCGGAGGCCGGACGCCTGGGACGCCGTCGCCGGCGAGGTCAGGGCTCGCTCCGCCTCCCCCAATCCCTTCACGCGTCAGGTATCCAATTATTATCGAAAAGTCCCCGGTTTGAAATTTTATTAATTGCTTTCCTACTAGAGAATTAATTCCTGCGGATTTTTTCTTTTCTTTTTTTTTTGTCCCTCTATCTTTTCCGATGGGCATCAACTTTGAATTGTTGGGTACGGAAGGGTATAATGGTCATTCGTTTAACCCAGTAATTGGTCCTCACATACGGTTAATTTTTTAAACTTAATACCCCAACTTCCGCTTTATCTATGATTACTCGGATATGGTAAAATTACAGAAAACCCCCTAATCGTTTCAGAAATTACAACATAATCACCTTAGTCTTTGAAAGCGGCGGACAGTTTGCCCCTCGTCTTCAGCTTTTAAGACGAGTGTGTTGCGGGTTTTGTGAAGAAACCAGTTTGTAATTCTAATTATAAACTCAGGCCAGCTGCACATTTAATTACAAAACTGACCAACTTTTTTTTTTTTTTGAGAATCGATTTTTAAAAATTCTGATGAGTTAAGTACGAAGGGTTGGCAATCCCGGGATATTTAACGAGTGGGTTAAAAAAAATCTGACCAACTTTAAGAAGGCGTAGTAAATGGGATTCTGAGCATGGATTTGGGTCAATTTTGTAATTAGATTTTCGAATATGGTTTTTTTTTAAAATTGTCCTATTTTATGTAACAAGCAATTTTTAATATGGTAGTCATGTAGGTGTAGAGGTAGTTGTCATATTCTGTTAATACTTTTTTTTTGTTGATAATGACTATTATTTATACAATTTTTAACACTAAGGTTAACTTGGAAAGAAATTGAGGTGTGGATACCAAACTGTCACTTTTAGAAGCAAACCTTCGGGTGATTCCCTGTAATTTAACCGCTTGTTATTATAATTATTTTGGTTATTTTATCATCTTTTTGCATGTGATTTTCTGATTTTGACTGATGGGTGGCATATTTTTTATTTTTTTGGTGTTTTGAAGGAATGCCAGGCTAAATATGAGGAAATACAAGAGCAGTACTCGGGATGCGAGTGAGTTCTCAGAATCATAGTTTCCCAAAACTACAATTCATTTGTAGTAAAGATCTCTTCTTTCAATTTTAAAGCAGAAGGTTAAGCCTATTTAACTAACTGGGAATTCTTGGAGCATACTGGTAAGAAACATAAAGATGAAAAGGACACCGTCGCTGTCTGGTGTCGGGTCTACCTTACGTGCAATCATAAGCTTTCAGTGGAAAATATTGACAACTAATGCCCTTCGCATGTTACCCTTCAAAATTCTGTCCCATTTCTATATCTGCATTCTGTCATATGTCATACATCTTTGATGAGGAACTACGAGGAGTTTGGCATCCTGAAATATCATACAAAAGTTGGAGAAAAAAAGAAAGCCTTTAGTGATATCTGTCAGATAACTCACAAGAGGGTAAACGTATTTGAGGAGTCCGGCTAAAATATATAAAAATGGTATTATTTTTTAATCATAGATGCCTTTCAGACATCTGGTTGTAAGTTTCCAAATTTCATGTCGAAGCAGACGCATACCTGGATTTTTCTCAAAAGATGGATAGAGGTCTAGGAAATCTAGCTCTAACATGAAGGTTTCTCAGAAAAAAGTCAATATATCTGTGGATTTTGAAGATCGGTAATAGATAGGATTGATACATAAATTCAACAAATAAGTAGTCAACTAATTTAGGTTCAATGTCAAAACTTACTTTTGGTGGAAGATAGAATGCAGAAAGTAATAAATTCTCAGAATTCATACATGATGAGAATTCAAATATGCCTTATTGTTCTTTCCAATATTTTACAAAGAGTAAGAAAAATTATTCAACATTAATATGACTTTTCTTATATGCGTACATGCATGTGTACAAGGTGGAGCAAAGGTACTTTGTTACTTTCAGAAGTATTTGGAGGCAAATCCTTCCGATGCACATTCAAAGTTTCAGGATTCATATTAAATATCCACTCTATTGAAGCAGATCTATATCATTTGAAATACCTTTAATCATAGATGCCTTTCAGACATCTGGTTGTAAGTTTCCAAATTTCATGTCGAAGCAGACGCATACCTGGATTTTTCTCAAAAGATGGATAGAGGTCTAGGAAATCTAGCTCTAACATGAAGGTTTCTCGGAAAAAAGTCAATATATCCGTGGATTTTGAAGATCGGTAATAGATAGGATTGATACATAAATTCAACAAAAAAGTAGTCAACTAATTTAGGTTCAATGTCAAAACTTACTTTTGGTGGAAGATAGAATGCAGAAAGTAATAAATTCTCAGAATTCATACATGATGAGAATTCAAATATGCCTTATTGTTTTTTTCAATATTTCACAAAGAGTAAGAAAAATTATTCAACATTAATATGACTTTTCTTATATGCGTACATGCATGTGTACAAGGTGGAGCGAAGGTACTTTGTTACTTTCGGAAGTATTTGGAGGCAAATCCTTCTGATGCACATTCAAAGTTTCAGGATTCATATTAAATATCCACTCTATTGAAGCAGATCTATATCATTTGAAATACCTTTAATCATAGATGCCTTTCAGACATCTGGTTGTAAGTTTCCAAATTTCATGTCGAAGCAGACGCATACCTGGATTTTTCTCAAAAGGATGGATAGAGGTCTAGGAAATCTAGTTCTAACATGAAGGTTTCTCGGAAAAAAGTCATATATCTGTGGATTTTGAAGATCAGTAATAGATAGGATTGATACATAAATTCAACAAATAAGTAGTCAACTAATTTAGGTTAAATGTCAAAACTTACTTTTGGTGGAAGATAGAATGCAGAAAGTAATAAATTCTCAGAATTCATACACGATGAGAATTCAATTATGCCTTATTGTTCTTTCTAATATTTCACAAAGAGTAACAAAATTTATTCAACATTAATATGACTTTTCTTATATGCGTACATGCATGTGTACAAGGTGGAGCGAAGGGACTTTGTTACTTTCAGAAGTATTTGGAGGCAAATACTTCCGATGCACATTCAAAGTTTCTCGATCCATATTAAATATCCACTCCATTGAAGCAGATCTATATCATTAAAATGCCTTTAAACAGGACTTCTAAAATTCTTTTGTTTGTGCTCAACAAGACGCAAAATAAACAATCTTAAAAGATGAATTTAGTAGTTTAATGGCATAAAATAAATGACACCTGACAAGAATTGTTTTATAAGAATTTTCAAGTGCTTAAATCAGTATCAGATTTCTGTGTAAAAATCTTTTGTGTAAAAAATATTATCCAAGAAAAGACCATGTTCGACAGTTCATTTTTCCTACTTGATGCAATGGCAACTAAATTGGATTCACCTTTTATTTGTAGATTCTTTAAATGGTATAGATAAATTTTTACCGAGTGGATTATGAAAATAGATTGGCAGGTTTCATCCATAGCGATTTCTGAGAAGTAAAGCATAAATTTTTACAAGCAATGTTTCTTCTTTAGAAAAAATAACTCATGGCTCTTCATATGGTTGGTTGCAAATGCTGTCGCATCAACAACATTTCCGGCGTTGTTGGGGTTTGTATTGATATGGTTGGGCTTACCACCTGCAAGTAGTCCTGTGAGGTTGGGGAAAAAGTTGCAAGTGGTACTGCCTTCAAATTGATTGTAGCATCCCTTATAGCCTTTTGTCTTGCACATTGCAAATGTGAGAGGCTATTCCTAGTTGCCTTATCAGCCAGAATACCACTTGCAACATCATTTATATCTTCCGATTAGGAACTACTTATTGCAACTCCACTGATAACTAAACTAAAGAATATGATTCATGAGGTAAAGTAGCAAGGTGTATCCATATATTGCATAACACTAAATTTTAGTCGAAAAACAGATTGATGAAGCCACCCTATTTGAGCAAATGTCTTCTTCTATTGTTTTAGGAACATTAGATATTGAATTTCCTAACTGTAAGTTAGCCATCAGTTCTTGTTTTCTTCTACTCCGTATTCTGCTTTTGCTAATTATTGTTCCCTTTTCTTTCCAGTGCTTGGTTCGAGGAGCTTCGGAAACGGAGAGTTTCTGAATTGAAAAGAGAGTTGGAAAAATCTGATGACTCCATCGGGTTGGTGTTAATGTTTAATAATGGTTAGCTGATACAGTTGTCGGCACTAATATGTTTTAACATAGCTATCAGTTGGGTCTTATTGTTTATATTGAACTGTTCACGTGCACCTTTTTTTGGCTTGCAAACATTATTAAATATTCTGACGTCCTAATTTCTAAAGGTTCATTATGTAGTACCATTACTAATTAATCGTTCATATTTGAAAGGTGATGTTTCAAAAGTCTTCAAAAGTAATCAGAAATCATCAAGATTCTACTGCATACTACCATAAAAAAGTATAGAGATGACAGATGAAGTTTTTATTTCTAACTTGTACTCGCAGTGTTTCTCCCTAGAGAAAGAGAGTCCATTATGCTTTAGAAATTTGTATCTGATAGAAAGTAGATACAATTAGACATTTTAGAAATTGAATTCTGTGTGGTGCATCCATTTTTAAAAATGGAATATGGACTGAAAAGAAATTACTCTTGAGTTACTCCTTAGTCCTCATTCATTATCGAGTGACCGAAGTGAAACCATGTGGTTTGGACCATTCATTACATCACTGCTCAAATGCAGTGGGGGGAGGTCCCCAAACCTTGTGTCCATCCCCAATTTTGATGCAAATCATATATTTGAATTGTATGTATCAACTTTTCCATTCCACTTATAATGTTATATTATTCCCATTTTCTAGTTAATATAAAATTCAATGTGAATAAGCATTTTGATAACGTATTAAAGCTTAATCTTATATACTAGTTCTGATGCAAAGTCCATGTGAAAGATTATACCTCATGTGAAACTTTTCTCTTCAGGTCTCTGCAATCCAAGCTTGAAAGCCTTACTTCTGAGAAAGAAACAGGCTGTAATTTTGATCACAATACCAGCCAGACCGAGTCAACATCCCCCATTGAAGATGCTGAAACCATTGATTCTTCAGGGAAAGAAGTATCCAGAGATGGTTCATCTACTGGTAGTTTTACGGAGAAAACTGTAAGAGGTTTGACCCACAAATGTCAGAATCTGGCCTCACTTTCAGTTCAAGATAACAATATCAAGATACCGCCAGAGAAATTCTTGATGGAGAAGTTTGGATGTGGATGCTTAGGGATTGGTTTTGGAAGTTTCAAAAAGAAAAGAGGGAAGAGAAAGAGAAAGGGCCTTAATATAGTGAAGGAGGGTAGTGCAGGGGATAGTGACTTGTTGAGTTCTGCCGCATTTACAAATAGACAGGGATCAGAGGAGGGTTGTATTCAAGGCACCAGTCCCCCATCCGAGGATTGTCATGGAGCATGGATGAGAGAGGATGGTGATGACCACTTGAATTTGGCTAGAATTATGGACTCAATTATGAAGCATGAGGATGTTTCTGTCTTCAGAGTCCGACTTGAAAGCCAGGTACAAATCATAAACTCATTATAGTGCATCAAAAGCTGCTAATTATCATGCAAAAACATGTTCATCAAAATAACTTAAACTTCCATTATTATGTTGCCAAGTTCTGTCTAGTTAAATTGCTCTCTTGATTTTCTCTAATAAATTTGTTTGAAAGAATATTTTCCATAAGGAATTCTTTTTTGGAAAGTAAGTTGTAACACTGATAAAGTTTTCTTGCAACAGTTGAAGATAGTTAAATGATGAGGCAGTTATTATTCACCCTTAGGAATATGATCCATCTAGTATTTTGATTTGTTTATCGCCTTTGGTGAAAGTTACTCCTAAATTATGAGCTAATTGTGTGACCAAGAAGGCAGCTTCCGGAGAAGATTTTATAGTTCACCTTTCTCAAGGAGTTTGACACCGAAAGGTTTTCTTTTTTTCTGTTCCCTTATTTTCTTCCCATGCCTTTTGGCTCCTACTTAGAGGGTTTATCACTTTATCCCATGTTGAAGCCAGTCATGGAAACAATTCCTCGATTATTGTTATTTGTTTTCTTGAACATAGGATTTGGCAGGATGCTCCAGACAGCATATATATACATATATTAAACATATAGTATCAAAATTCTTGCAATTAAATTCCACCTGAGCAAAACAGAACTAAATACATCATTGCAGTTCTAGGAAGATAATGCTGAACAACTAGAAACGCTATCCCCAATATCTGAAGATCCATAGGAATCGGTATGATGATAGAAGCAGCATCGTTAATTACAGTAGCATTCTGAGCTCCATAAATTCCAACCATGAAAACTTTGACAACTCTTTGTAGAGCTTTCTAGACTCATATGGTTGACACATTTAGGTGAAAAGAGTCTTGATGAAATTATCTAATCTGCTGTATTTGTGATTATTACTTCTCTTTGATTGCTTTCATATTATACATGCGATTCACTTGAAATTTACATCTTTGTGTTTCCTTTATCTTTTGGAACACTACATTTCTTATCGACCCGAGATTACTGCCCAATAAAGATGTATTATTTTTCTTTTCTGAGGGGAAATAACACAATTGAGATTGTATGAATAGTTACAATATGACTTTACAAAAGAAATAGTCTACGTCTTATCCTATTTCTCCTGTCCTTTTCCCCTTGATGTAATAGAAGAAAGCCAGATACAAGAAGATGATCCGCAAGCACATCGACTTCCGCAAATTAAGCTCAAGTATTGGCAATGGTTCTGTCTCCTCAGCCAATGAATTATATAGGGACTTGCTTCTCCTCTGCAACAATGCCCTTGTCTTCTACCCAAAGAACTCCACCGAGCACAAGTCTGCACTCATTCTTCGAGGTCTTGTGAATAAGAAACTAAGGAGGAGTTTCAGTCCGCATAGTCCAACCTACAGCTGTAGCGATGATGAAGGTGCAGTTTCAGAAATTGCTGACAAACCCAAGAAGCTCAGAACTACACTTGAGGATGGAGGTGCAGTTTCAGAAAAAGATGACGAGCCCAAAAAGCTCAAAACTACGCTTGAGGAGAATTTGAAAGTTTCTGGAGAAACAAAAGGAAATCCAGCTAAAGAGAATGCAACAGTTGCTGGAAAAGGTGATGGAACTCCACATAAGGAGAATGCAGCAGTTGCTGGCCAAGGGGTCGGAACTGCACGTAAGGAGACTGCAGTGGTCACTGGAAAAAGGGCAGGAACTGTAACTCCACTTAAAGAGAACGCAACAGTTGGTGGAAATCGGCGCAAGGAGAATGCAGTATCTGCAGGGAAAGGGGCTGCTGGGATACTACGAAAGGAGAAGGCAGCAGTGGCTGGAAAAGGCATTAAAACTCTACGTAAGGAGAACGAAACAGTTGCTGGCAAAGGAGTCGGAACTGCACTCAAGGGGACTGCAGTGGTCACTGGAAGAGGAGCAGGAACTGTAACTCCACTTAAAGAGAACGCAACAATTGGTGGAAATCTACGCAAGGAGAATGCAATGTCTGCAGGCAGAGGGGCAGGAACACTGCGAAGGGAGAATGCAGCAGTCGTTGCTGGCAGACACAAAGGATCCTTATTGAAGGAGAAGGGTAATAATAACAAGCGATCTCAAGCTGACGTAGCAGTGGAATCTGCAGGTAATAAGAAGAGGTGCATCGGGCGTCCAGCGAACGGTGGGCAACGAGGTGGCAGGCGACCACGGTGGGCAACGAGGTGGCAGGCGACCGCAGGAGAGTGTGAACAAGGGAAGGAAGAGTGTTAAAAATGGATGACAACTGATATTAAAATACAAAGGATTAGCGTATGTAGGGAAGTTCGTAAGGTAGTTGTTGGTAGGTCTGTGGAGTGTTTGGGTCTGGAAAAATTCTGACCCTCTGTGTATGTTAGTGGTAGGAATGGAAATCTTCTTTTATGCTACAGTGAACGGTAACCGAAGTATGCAATGCAAGAGGATTACCAAATGTTTGCAGCTTATTATATATAAGGGCTTTTGTTTATAAACCTGTAAGTTTTAACCCATTTACTTACAAAACACCACGTACTTCTACGTGTTCTCATACGCCCAAAGTGTTTAAGTTTACTTATCTTTAACCCAAACTATAGAATACCATGTGCATAGCTACATACAATATTTTAAGCTATGTAGTTGTACATGCTAAACACTATCATATATATGCACTGCATGTAGCCACACACTTTGCATTCTTTATTTTGGGTTTGTGGGCAAGTAAACTTTGTACGTTGGGTGTTGTATGAGAACATATAGGACAACACAAGTTTTAAAGTAAATCAGGTAAAACTTTGGGTCTATAAGTAAACACCCCATGTATATGATAGGATTAATTGCACATACTCAGTATACTATTGCTTCGCGTCACTAGTCACCCTTTAAGTTCGATGTTCATAGAGGGACCCCTTAAAACTGAACCAAACGTCATCATCAGCCTCCCGCGCCTCCTCCCTACCGGATAACGTGTTGTGTTTCTGGGGATGTTTGCCACTTCTATATTCTGAAATTATCAAGACCAATAAGAACGGCTATATGATAACTAACCGGTCGACTCTCAAAGCATCCGCAAGAACATCATGACTCGTTTCGTGAACCAGATCTGAGGTGAAAGGTGCTTCCGACCCGGATCCTATCAGACGTTCGACTTCGAGATGAAAGGTGTTTCCCACTCGAACAAACACAAGGTATCTCCAACGTTGGAATAGCCTGACAGATGTCATCAAAAGTCACATTGCACAGTATGCACTCGCAATTCACCTCCCAATCGCCATCAAGCATTTAATGTGACGTCAGTCATTATGACCTTTCGAGCCAGAGCCTTCAAAGCTCCTCGGACACACCATTACTATAACAATCCCATCATTGTGCAAAAGCGACTCGACCAATCAGCAGTTAACACGTGTAAACTAGGGTCTGAACCAATACTGCACACGCTCGGCTGAAATTACCTACGTGCCCCCGTAAACCCTCTATAAATACTGACGATTTCCACTAAATCAAGGTGTGCAATTTTACACATAAAAAGTCAACAAGACTAGACCGTTTCCCTCCTCAAATTAACTAGAAACAATCACTGACTTCAGCGTCGGAGGGCACGCCGGAGGAAACAATCTCCGGTGCCCTCTAACCTCCGTTATACGTATAGTGATGAAAAACGCAAAGATCCAGAACGGGATGATCAACCATCAAAGACGAGATGAAGGGGCCTCAAAAAATTGAGTCTAACCCTCCTAAATCGCGTATCAACCTCGCGACATAAAACAGTCGCGGAGATGGATTGGATGGCGAGGAAGGGAGGAGGAGGAGGAGGATGACGATGCATGGGGTTTATCTGCAACCAAGCTTTAATGGTGTTTCAGTTTTTAAGTGTCTATCAGGCAATATCAAACTTAAAAGATAATAAAAGACACAATATGAAGGTACAGACAGGGAGGGCTGATTGATCCTATGTTATGCAAATTTGTGGACCGCTGCTGATATTATCAGCAACGCTAACGGACGATTCTTTTCTTTGACTTCTAGTTTTAGTGGTGGTCTACATCACTGATTGATAGAGGGTAGGTGAACCACCCGAGTCCAGTGATAGGTATCATTTCACTATTTCAGTTTATTAGAGCAGCTGCTAGTAAACGGTCTTTCTTGAATGATTGGGATTCTACAAAATAGAAATGAGATTGATGAAGATATTGAGCTTTGAAGTTAAGTGGGGTGTTTGTTTGAAATCCTATAATTTTAGGATACGGATTTCATCATGGGATTTGAAATCCATAGGTTTTTCAACGTGGGTCGGGATTTCTAAAGTTTTGTTTGTTTCATCAATATTTTGGGATACGTAATCCTATAATTTGTATTTTGTTTGTTTCAAAATCAAATTGTAACATTACAAATTTTAGAATTTGAAATCTAGCCTAAATCCTCTCTCAAAGAGGGGGTTTCACAAATGCTATAATATATTAGTTTTTTATTATTATATGGGTTTCAATATTCTAAAATTTATTTTGAATCAAAGATATGAAATCCATAAACTCAAAAAAAATCTACTTTTTCATCCTAGAATTTATAAACCATTCTATGTCCCAAAGAAAATTTGAAACAAACACCCCCTAATCACATTCGGTTTAGTATTCAGGGTTCCCAAGAAAAGGAGACGTCCTTCTCCATTGATTCGTTAGAATTATGGCTAAATTTGTTGTGGATTAATTAAATTATGCGGTGAGACCGTTGAATGATGAAAGAAGCCAAGCAGCTCAAGTTACTAGGAGCCAGACGCAATTAAATAGACGTGTGTGCAATAATTGGGACCAAAATTGATTATTAAAATATCTTAAAAAGCTGTCAGATTAATAATCTGTCCTAATCGAGCAAGAACGAGTAGGAGTTCAAAGTTTTATGAAGAACAAGACCATCAAATAAACATTTTAACCCAGCGCTTGAAAAACTTCGTGCTCTGTGGTTTCTTTTTTTCTTCCAATATTAGTTCTTTCGTATTTTGTTATTAGTCTTCCAACTATTTTATATATTTGAAATTTAGTCCTTTCAATCATTATTATTGAAATCAATGCTCAAATCTTACAACTGTTTTGAAATTAGTTCCCGGAATCTTTCAATCTGGTGTTAGTTAGGTCAAATATGAAGATTTTGAGGACTAATTTCAAAACACTAAAAGATTTGGGGGACCAACCAAATATGAAGGTTTGGAAGACTAATATCAAAATCTGATAGATGTGGGGGACCAATATAAAAAAAAACTCTGTTAAAGTAGGTTTAATCACCATCTGAATTGTTTCGCATAATAATTGGATTTGTGGTGAAGCGACTATTTTCACTTTAGCATTATAAACACAAATCCCTCCACCAACTTCTCATTTACCCTCTCTCTCCCTCCCTCCCTCAACTTCTGGGAGACAGAAATTTTTCTCCAGAATTAATAGAGAAATTGTTTTTTCTCTCCAAAATCAACACCAATCAACGGAAAATTTTAAATGCATAACAATATAATTAGTATTCCATCTAAAAACGTTAAAGATGGATAGAACACTAACTCAACTCCAACCAATTGCTGACCACAAAGACTAATTTCAAAACACTTAGGGGTGTTTGTTTCAATAAAAATTTCGGCATTTGGTATGGTTTACAAGTTTTGAGATCAAAAAGCGAGTTTTTTCGTATTTTGGGATTCCATATATGGTGTTTGTTTTAAGAAAATTTTTAGAATATTGAATTCCAAAAGTGTAAAAAAGTGCCCAATTTTTAGAATTTGCCAAATCCTCTCAATTGCAGACGGTTTTTTTTTCCGTCTGTGATAATCCGTCTAGAATACATTACAGATGGAATTTCCGTCTAGAATAAGTTATTCTAGACGTAAACAAACTAGACCCGTAATCCAGACGGAATTCCGTCTGGAATAGTATTTTTAGATGGAATCGAGGTTATTCCAGGCAGAATTTTTCGTCTGGAATGCGTCGTTTTGTACCAGTGAATGGGTGTGCTTACCTCTCAATTGGAGAGGATTTGACAAATCTAAATTTTATCTTTTCGTGGGAGATGGCCTCATCAAGATAGCATATTCACCATATTATAAAATTTTGGTATTTGGTAATGCTTCAACTTGAGCTTGAAACAAACAAAATATTACAAACTGTAGTATTCCAAATCCCAAAATATTAACGAAACAAACAACATTTTAGAAATCCCAACCCATAACAAAACACCTATGGATTTCAAATCCCATGGTGAAATCTATATTCTAAAATTATAGGATTTGAAACAAACACCCCCTTAACACGTTCGGATGGCTAATTTCAAAATAGGAAACACGCAGAGGACCGGGGGGAAAACCCCCAGCATAACAAGCAAATCTTAATGGTGTGCTTGGAAGTTTACTTAGGGAAGGGAAGGAAGGGAGGGAAAATTCTTCTTCCTTCTCTTCCCCCCTTTACACCCCAATTTGGAGTGTAAGAATTTAGACCAAAATCGCCCCTCCACCACAAAATTCTTCTCCTCTATTTTCTAAAATAAAACTCCCAAACAAGATTAAAATAAAATTTCCCTTCCCTTCTTCGTCTCTACCGTCCATCCAAACAGGCCATAAAGAAAATACTCTAATCACGATTTCAATTTGCTGAAAAGAAAAAGGGGTACCGATGACAGGGACTCCGCCCACGAGGCACAGCACCATTTATTTTATTTTATTTTTCTTTAATTAAAGAGCGAGCGAGCGAGCGAGAAAAGGTGATTTAAGAAAAGGGCAGAAGAGAGGGGGGGCGCCACACGTCGCCCCCTAAATATCCCATGCAACAGCTCCCTCTCTCTCTCTCCCTTTCTAAAAACACCTCTCTCCCTCTCTCTCACTCATCGAACTCATCGAAGATCTCGAGAAATTCCCCATTCTTGGGCCGAATTTTCAGCGATCCGCGCTGTGTCCTCGCGGTGACGTGGCACCGCCACGGCGCTTCTTCTTCTTCCTCCTCCTCTCCCGTCCCGTAGCAGCTGCTAGCTCGTGGCCCGTGAACCAGGTGCGCGCGCGTCTCTCAACCGACCCCTCTCTGTGTTCTTCTTCAAGCTCGATCTCTCGAACCTCGCCCAACGGCCCCGATCGAGGGGCGAAAGGCGAAGATCGAAGTTTCGATTTCTTGTAGAAACCTCCTGCGTGCCTTTTGTTTTCGTGCGTGTTTATGGTGTGGGGATTCGCGATCTTTCTCTAACAATATCTTGCTTAATTTTCGGTACGTGCTTCCTTCGAAGAGGAGCTAAGTTTAATTTCTTAGCTTCACGTATACATGTTCACCGATAAATCGGGGTATTTGGCATTTGCATGCCTCGAATTCTGATGTGTCTCAAGTTTCAAGTTTCAATTTCTGATTATGACACCAAGCTCATCTTGTACGAGTCCCTTAGGAGGGGATTTAAGCCAAATTATTCGACTAATGCCTTCGGAAAAATAATTTTTATGAATTATTTATGGCTCTTTTATAATGACAAAAATATAAATAACTATCGATTCTAATGTATGTTGAAATCAGAAGACATTGAGGGCCGAAGCCAGACTGAGATATCGCAGTATCCTGGTACTGCTTATGATTAGAAATAGCTAGTGAAGCAGCATATAGAGATGAACTTTATATCATGAGCAAATTAATATCGGTGCGGGTGCAGTTACAAATAAGGGTAAATCAATCTCGGGTCTCAACTGCGGGATCTTGTATCTAGAAGACGCATATATGTTTCTAAGAGTTTATCATGTAATTAAATAACTGAAATCTTATGGGGGGTAAAACTCGTTTCTTTTGCTTGAATTCTCTCCCTACTCACTGACGAGTAAACTTGCCCCTGCAGGATGATATATGCTAAGAGTGCTAATATAAGATGAAAATACAGCCATGTGTAATAATCTTGAGCATTGTGATGTTGTTCGTTGTTTATAGAATGGCAACCATTCAGTATGAAGAAACAGAGGTACATCTTTGGACAGTTGATTATTTAGTAACTTCACTATTTGTTTTGTATTTAATAAAATCCTTGTTGTGATTTGTAAAATCGACAGATGGAAGCAACATCTCATCCCTTTGATACGATATTGGTAAAACTTTTCTGTTCTTTTTTAAGAAACAGTCAGGAAATTCCTTTGATCATTTTCATTTTCAGGAGCTGCTTATGATTAATTATTTTCGCAATATGCCTTCCCCTTCCCAGTGTTGTTGGTTTGTGAAACTTAAGCTGTCAGCTAGTGTTTCATCACGTTAAAGAAATTTACATGATGTTATGAGTTTGTTTGCGTTGCAGCATTAACAACAATTGATGATTTCATGTCTAACATTCAGGACTCTGGTACAAGTGAACCCCGTGTTGGTTATTTGCCTCATGGTATAGTGCATTCGAGATCTGACATGGAAGTAAAGCCTCTATGGCTAGCAAAGGGCTCAAAGGTTAGTAATTCTGTAAGGGATTATGTCATCACAACTCAAGTCTCATTGATGCTAGAATGTTCCAAACCCCCTTTATGTCCTTAGAGTTTCTTGTATGTGGTGATTTTCCTGTTACTTAGTTGCAATACTTTGGTGTTATTATGTTATGTTTCATGCTTCGTAACCGCTTGCTTCCCATTTTTCTATATTCTTAATTGATTACATAATATTTAGCTGTAATCATTCATAGTAAGTAGTAACCCATTTATTGCAAGCAGGAGTAGATATCTCTGTTCGTATCATCAATAACCCTGATTTAAGATGGTCCCAGTTTATCTAACCGAGTAACTTGAGAGTTCTTCTAACATACTTGCTAGATTACTTAAACTTCTTCAAAATTTTAATTGTCCTCTCATCGTTTCTGTCTACTATTGTAATTGTGGCTTCGTAGCTAGATCATGGTTTCTTACTTCTTAGCTTATATCATGAAAAGGGAAATGCTGATATTATTTCTTGATCGTGGAATGCTTTTGTATGGAACTTGTTAATTTGGTAATATCGGGTTTCTGTAAAATTCATGTTTACAATGATGCTGATGCTGATGCTGATGATCAAACGAGTTAATTTTTCAGGAGAGAAATCAAAGTTATCGGAACTTACTAGCAATGCCTGTTGGCATTAAGCAGAAGAACAATGTAGATATCATTGTTACAAAGGTATTGCAGTCTGTTATATTTCCATTACGAATGTTAAGATTGAGTGTTCTTCATCCAATTTTCAGTCTTCAGTTTCTTTCAGAGAACTTCACAGTTATTTTGTTCCACTATGATGGGAATGTCAATGAGTGGAATGAGTTCTGGTGGAGTAAAAATGTAATCCATATAGCTGCAAATGACCAAACAAAATGGTAAAAATCTGTATGCATTATGTACTCTTTTGAGTGATATATTTGCACTTGTATTTTTTTTTATTTTGAGTATATCATTTAGTGGAGTTGAGATCATTTCCATTTCTCTATGGTGCGTCTATTTCGTGGCCCTAATTTAATGCTCTTTCAACCTCACGTCAGGTGGTTTGCAAAACGTTTCCTACACCCAGATGTTGTCTCTATTTATGATTATATATTCCTTTGGGATGAAGATTTGGGGGTTGATAATTTCCATCCTGGAAGGTGTGCATTCTGATTCTTCAGGCTAATGCCTATATTCTTTCTTCAGTTTGTGAAAATATTAATTCCAGATAATAGATTATCATTTCTTAGGTTGTTAGTTTGTATGTAATAATTCCCTCTATCATATACCTCTCTTTGTTTGATGTTCCATTAACCTCTAGGTACTTGAAAATTATGAAATTAGAAAGTCTGGAGATATCTCAGCCAGCATTAGACCCTCAATTATCTGAGGTACATCATCGATTAACTGCTCGCAGAAAAAAAGGAAGGGTTCACAGGTAGAGAGTTGTTCATTTCTGTTGTGTCTTGTTAACAATTATTATTGACACATAACTATGTCTGCTTAGGAGAGTATACGGTTCTCAAGGTCGCAGGAAGTGTACCAGTAAAGGACCTCCATGTGCCGGGTATATATTTGTTTGTTTATTGTGATACACCTAATACACTTTATAGTTTTATTTTAGCTTCATGTTCATACTGGATTGTCATATGAAAATCAATATGTTTTTGTTGAACTCTGAAATACCATTCTCTTGTTATCTTTTCCGGGAAGAAAATTGTTGTAGCTACTCATTTCACTACAGGACAGCAAGAATAGAACTAAGGGATAAATTCCAGAACCCCCCCCCCCCTCCTTTTAAGTTTAGGGCGCTACACATAACTTAGCAAACTGTTGGCAGACTTCTAACTTATCACATTTTCACCAAAAAACCCCTAATGTTAACCACAATTTCACATGGAGTGGATAAACATACACAAGGGGAGTAGTTTTGCTAGTGAAATTTGCAGTTCATCACTTTTTTTATTGGGTGGTGGTGGCGGGGGGGGGGGGGTAGGGTATTATGGTTTTGGGGGTAGTTGTATTCTGGGGTTTTGGGGTTGGGGGGAGGTGGGTTCTGTGAACCTTGCAAAGTTGAAGGGGTTTTCTGAGAACCCCAAGACTTAAGTTTTTTTTAAATTTTAAAAGTAAAGGGGGTTATCTGAGAAACTCTCAAACTTAAGGGGGGGTTTTCCAGAAAACTGAGTACATAAATAGGGGGTAAACCTTGTAATATAACACAGGAGTATGGTCTAGTCTCATAAGCAACATAAATATGAACTACTATTTATTGCCAAATTAGGTAGTCAAAATGTGAGCATTACCACTATGAGAGGGAAAAAAATGAGGTGAGTAAGGAAAAGGGAGCTATGCATCCTGTCTCACTCTTCTGGTTGAGCAAAAATCCTCATCAATTCCTATCTAGGGGCTCTTTTGAGGGTAATCAAATTGATAACTTGAAAAGTCTCCGCTAAGTGCGGAGTTTGAGATGAAATTGAGGTTTCTGTGAAGAGCATTCTCCTCTGGTCATTCCATATCATGCCCTTCACCGATCCATCAATGCTATGTGCTTTGTCAAGTGTGCTCTTCTTTTTCCTTATCTTCCTATGCAGTATGATTGATGAGTTTTCTGGTTGCAGCACCTGACAGTGGTTATTTATGGTGAAAATGGTTTGTGTCTATTTGTGTAAATGGATTTTTAAGGGATTGGAACTTTTGTGATGACTACGATGACCTGCATTACCTTTTCATTTTTTTTATATTTGTTATACTTGTTCATGAAAATGAATTATAGAAGGGGAGATTAAACATTAAGAGCAGAAGTTTATACCTGAATCCATAGCTTAGATTTGAGATAAGGTTTTAGTGATCTTCTAATCTTAGGGTTTCTCCCTTTAGAATCTCTTTAGATGGGGATAAGAGAATGAGAGTGGTTAACACTAGATTAGGGACCATAACCTCATATATATAGGTGTTGTACATTTATAATTTGACCCCTCATCAAATTATACATACAACCTGATATCTGCATATTTAGTCCATGATTTATTTAAATACCCATAAACCCAAATTGATTGATCACTTTACGTGGGTTATCCTTAACACACTGATAAACATATGTACCCACAATTAGATTTAATTAGATTTAAATCCAACAATCTCTCACTTTGGCACCATATGATTCCTTAAAGTGTGTATAACCTTATGAGCTCAAACATTGCTATCACTAAAAAGGGTATTTCCAAACAATCTCGTCCATTGAGTATATCAATATAAGATCAAAGCGGTCTTCGTCACATTTATCGTAACTAAACCCATCAATGGTCACATATACCAATATAATCAAACGACATAGATTAATCATGGATATGCAGCATAAAAATTACATGCAATGTGATTAGTACATGTCTATTTTTAACTGATCCTACCTTAAACTTTAGCGAGGTCAATCTCAACATAATGTTCTAGAGTGTATGAACTGATACTTTATTCTGATCAGACAATACAACCTAACATAAAACATCACAATTACAAACTCCTACTAAATCATGATATCCTCAAATAATACCACACCCATATAAGCAGTGTGCTCATGAAAGACCTTAGGTGGTAATCCTTCAGTAAAAGGATCAGCTATCATGGAGTTTGCCCAATGTGTTGTATGGATATTTGTCCACTCTGTACCATTTCTTTCACAACTAGGAACTTAATGTCAATATGTTCTGATTTAGTTGAGCTCCTGTTATTAGAATACATTACTACAGATTTATTATCACAATATAGCCTTAGTGGTCGTTTCATATTTTTCAGAATGCGTAGTCTCGTGATAAAATTTCGCAGCCATAATCCCTGATTAGATGACTCATAACAAGCTATAAATTCTGCTGTCATAGTGGAGGAAGCTACAAGTGTCTGTTTGATACTTTTTCACGATATAGCTCCTTCTGCTAACATATAAATGTAACCAGATGTAGATTTTCTGCTATCTTGGCATCCACCAAAATCAGAATCAGAGTACCCAATGACCTCCAACTGTTCTGATTTTTTGTGTGTGTGCATATAATTTTTTGTTTTCTGAAGATACCCCATAACCCTTTTGACTGCTATCCAATGATCTATACTAGGGTTGCTTAAGTATCTGCCTAACATCTTAACAATGTACGCAATATCCGGACGCGTACATATTTGAGCATACATTAGATTTCCTACAGCAGAGGTATAAGGAATCTTCTGTATTTTTTGAATTTCAATGTTACCTTTAGGACACTGACTGAGACTGAACTTGTCTTTTTTAGCAACGGGGGTACCTATTGGTCTGTAATATTGCATGCTAATTTTTTTGAGTATTTTATCGATATAGTTCTTTTGTGATAATCCAAGTATACCTCGAGAACGATCTCGATGTATCTGGATTCCTAATATAAAAGAGACGTCCCCAAAATCTTTCATCTCAAAATTCTTTGATAAAAATCTCTTAGTTTCGTGCAACATGCATATATCATTAGTGGCAAGCAATATGTCATCGACATACAAAATTAGAAAAATAAACTTACTCCCACTGAACTTGTGATATACACAGTTATCAACAATGTTCATCTTAAAATCGAACGAGATAATTATTTGTTAAAACTTGTAATACCATTGACGAGGAGCTTGCTTGAGTTCATAGATGGATTTACTTAAGTTTTCAGGTTGCACTATATAAATCATCTCATCAATGTTGTCATTGAGAAATACAGTCTTAACATCCATCTGATATAACTCAAGATCAAAATGAGCAACAAGCATCATGATTGTTCTGAAAGAGTCTTTCGATGAAACTAGAGAGAAAGTCTTTATATAATCAACGCCTTCCTTTTGAGTAAAGCCTTTAACTACAAGACATGTCTTATACCTCTTCACATTATCATTTGCATCCCGATTGGTTTTAAAAATCCATTTACAACCAATTGGTTTTGCACCTTATGATAATGGGACCAGTTCTCAAACCTTATTATCTTGTATAGACTTGTACTCTTTATTCATGACATCAATCCACTGTTGAGAGTTAGAACTTTTCATGGTCTGAAAAAAGTTGATTGGATCATCTTCCAACATTCCATTATTATCCTCATGTTCTTGGAGAAATACAATATAATCATCCGGAATAGCATTTCTCCTTTCTATCATGGATTTCCTTAAAGGCACTGTTTTTTGAGGTTGTTGAGTTTATTTTTCTGAAACAGGGAGTTGTTCAACATTGTTATCTTGAGGTTCTGGATTTACTTCTTGAGCAACAACAGGTATAGGAACCTAAAGATTGTCAAAAGTAACTGTATGGATTGGATCTGAAGCTAATTCCTCCTCAAAAGCAATGTTTATAACCTTGTTTCTCCCCCCAAACTCAACATCCTCAAAGAATGTTGTTCCCGTCTTAAAAATATTCCTGAGTATGAGATCATAAAACTTATAGCCCCTAGAGCGTTCAGAATACCCAATAAAATAGTCGTTAACTGTTTTGGAGTCCTATTTTTTTATTTGGCTTATAAGGTCTTGTCTCAACTGGACATCCCTAAATATGTAAATACTTAAAACTGGGCTTTCGACCAGTCCAAAGCTCATAAGGTGTTTTAGCAATTGTTATACTTGATACTCTGTTAAGAATGTAAGTTGTTGTCTTTAGTGCTTCTCTTCAGAGACTCTGGTAAAGAAGAATGAGCAATCATACTTCTTATCATATCCTTAAGAGTCTTATTTCGTCTTTTAGCTACACCATTCATGCTAGGTGAACCCGACATGATGTACTGTGGGACGATACCGTATTCTTCTAGGTATCTAGCAAATCGTCCTGAACGTTGCTTACCTGAATCATTATATCTGTCGTAGTACTCACCACCACGATCAGATCTAACGATTTTAATTCTTTTGTTGAGTTGATTCTCAACTTCAGTTTTATAGGCTTTGAACATGTCCAGAGACTCAGATTTTTCATGAATTCTCAACTTCAGTTTTATAGGCTTTGAACATGTCCAGAGACTCAGATTTTTCATGAATGAGATATAGGTACCCATAACGTGAGTAATCGTCTATGAATGATATAAAATATTGTTGATCATTCCAAGATGTCGTAGGGAATGACCTATAAATATTCGTATGTATCAATTCTAAGACGTCTGAAGATCTTTTGGCACCTAATCTCTTAACATTGGTCTATTTTCTCTTGATACATTCAACACATACGTCGAAGTCTGAAAAATCAAGATAATCTAAAATGCTATCAGACACAAGACGTTCAACTCTACCTTTTGAGATATGACCCAAGCGTTTATGTCATAATGTCTCCGAATTTTTTTATTTAATTTACGCTTTGTACCACGTTATTCCACATGCAAGGATTCATTATAAGAAATAATTGTATTAAGAAAATATAGGTTATCATAAGTACTGAAGTAACCAGTTCCCACAACATTTGAATTAAAAGATAAACCAAATTGACTATTTCCAAATGAACAAGAATAACCTGATTTGTCCAATACAGAAACAGAAACCAAATTTCGTCTAAAAGACGGTACTATAAAAGTATCTTTTAAGTTCAAATATGAACCAGTTCCTAATAACAACCTAAAGTGCTCAATTGCTTTCACGTCTACTGATTACTGATTGTCCTTCACCCACAAAGATGTGTCTTTCAACATCACTTGGTTTTCGATAGCTCAGGCAACCATGCATATAAACACTTATGTGAGTAGTAGCACCAGAGTCTAACCATCAAGTGTTTTTAGGTACTGAAGCTAAATTAACCTCAGAATAGACCAAAGTAAGGAACATACCCTTCTTAGCACGTCAGGCGTGATATTTGGTACAGTCCTTCTTTACGTGTCCAGATTTATTGCAGAAGAAACAATCATGATCATCCTTATGTTGTTTCTTCTGAATAGGACCCTTAGCAGTTTCATTATCATTCTTTTTTTCTTGTCCTTATCCTTAGAGGCATAAGTCAGATGAGCACTTTCTGTCTTATCTTGCTTCAACCTGTATTTTTCTTGCACACAGTATGAAATAAGCTCATTTAGAGTCCGTTTCTCCTTTTGGTAGTTATAACTGACCTTAAACTGATTGAATTGTGCAGGAAGAGACAACAGAACCAAATGCACCAATAACTCATTATAAAGATCGAGTTTAAGTACCTTAAGCTTTGAAGCAATATGAGATATTTTCATAATGTACTCCCTGATATTTTCTTTGCCCTTATAAAAATCAAGCAAGCTAAAAGCGTGCTTGTTTCTACCTTATCGTTTTTCGCAAAACGTTTCTCAATTTCGACAAGAAAATCTTTAGTCTTAGTAATCCTTTCGGAATCTATGCCACTGAAGGCTTCCGGAACGTCGCGCTTAATGATCATAAGACTCATGCGATTTGAACGCTCTCACTTCTCATACTCTTTCTTAATATCAGGAGTGCTATCCGCATTAAGAGGTTGGGGTTTCTCATTTCTTAATATAAGGTCTAGATCCATGTAACCAAGAATAATTAATATGTTCTCTTTTCAAACCTTGAAATTTGTCCCATTGAGCATGGGAATAGAGTTGATGTTAGCAAAAATTATTGTAGCAGATGCATTAGCTGAAATAAACAAAAAATACTCACATTATTAACCGTAATTAGTAATCAATAAAATTCTAATAATGACAAATCTCGTCTCAAGATATCAAGCATAACATTAATATCAAGTCTTTGGACAGTAATATTAATTTGTAAGTGATACCTTGTTGCAATCATCAAACATTGACAATAACTTATGTTAAATAATGAAACTATTTTTGGATCGATTCATTATTCACATGTAAACCTTATAATTATCACACGTTTATCATCACAGATGTGTATGCAGTCTAAATAAATATTAACCTTCCTTTGGGCCGATTAAATATTTATACGAAAACATACACACAACCATCTATCACCCCTCATGATCAATCTATATAAGAGAGGTTACTTTGGTAACATCTTGTTTCAATTAATCATTTGGAATGAGAGACAACTTTACTACCTTAGTATCATATTATTTGAATTAAATAATTGATTAACTACCAAATTTAATTTAATTTAAAAAAGTTTAATTTAAATTAACTAAATTTTCAAAAACTTAATTAGGGCCTCATAGCTTAATTAAGCACACTAAAATTGGGCCCATAACTTTATAAGGCCCACATATAATGTTTTAATTGAAATATTTAATTAGCCCAATCATAAAACTTGTAGGCCCATAACCAAATGGACTTGAATGAGACATTCACATCCAGGCCCAAAAAAAAACACAAGAAAAATTAAGTAAGCTTGTGTCCTAGTTCACTTCTCAACAGCAGCTTTCTTCCTTCACCTGACGGGAAGGAAGAGCTTGCCCCAAAAAAAAATCGACGCTTAGCCGACTCTCCCCTGCACCGAACATGAACCGAAGCTCGCCCGTAGTGAACACGAGGCTCGCTCAACTATGAAATCGAGGCTCGTCCTCGAAACTCGCCTGAGAATGAGCACGAGGCTCACCTGAAATCTGAACATCGAGCTCGCCTACAACGAGCGTCGACTATGCCTGAGTCGAGCCGAAGCTCACATGAGTTGGACCCGAGGGTCGCCTGATTCCGAACACGGGGTTCGGCTGAAATTCGAACACGATGTTCGCTTGATTGTTCGAACACGAGGTTCGACCAAAGTTCGAACATGAGGTTCACTTGATTGTTCGAACACGAGGTTCGACCGAAGTTTGAACACGAGGTTCGTCTGGTGCAAATCAAAGTTCGCTGGAATCACACTGAAGTTCGTTAGAAGCCTTCAACAAAACTGAAAACACGAGGTTTGTCAGAAGTTCGAACCTCGAACCAAGCCGAAGTTCGCATGAGAACGGGTAAGTCCTCAAGCCCTAATTTTTCCTTTCACCCATTAGGGTTTAGATCTGAAACGCCGCCACCGTCGCTTGGGCTGCAGCCAACGAACACCCTTAGGGTTTTGTTCTGAAAACCGCCGCCGCCACTGTATTCATTTGATAGTGTGGCCGCCGTCGATACATCTCCGGCGAGTAGTTAGAGAATGACAGACAAACCAAAACAATTTTTTTCGATTTTGAATTCAATCCAGATCCGAAACTTGAATCCATTTCAAATCAAACATCAAAAAATGGAATCAAACCAAAAAAGAAGTGAACTTTACAGTTCACACCCCCCCCCCCGCCACTGTCTTCATTTGATAGTGTGGCCGCCGTCGATACATCTCCGGCGAGTAGTTAGAGAATGACAGACAAACCAAAACAATTTTTTTCGATTTTGAATTCAATCCAGATCCGAAACTTGAATCCATTTCAAATCAAACATCAAAAAATGGAATCAAACCAAAAAAGAAGTGAACTTTACAGTTCATGAGTGCATGCAACAGATCCAAAAATCGAAAGAAAAACCAAACAAAAAATGAACTTTTACTGTTCATCCGTGAGCAGTTTTGAAAAAACCGCAGATTAAGATAAAAAAATCCAATTTTTAAAATTTTACCCTTAAGAATTAATCACGGGTGGCTCTGATACCACTTGACGGACTAAACGTGATCAAAATATAGAGATTAAACATTAAGATCGGAAGCTTATACCTGAATCCATAGCTTAGATTTGAGATAGGGTTTTAGTGATCTTCTAATTTTAGGGTTTTTCCCTTTAGAATCTCTTTAGATGGGGATAAGAGAATGAGAGTGGTTAACACTATATTATGGACCATAACCCCATATATATAGGTGTTGTACATTTATAATTTGGCCCCTCATCAAATTATACATACAACCTGGTATCTGCACATTTAGTCCTTGATTTATTTAAATACCCATTAGCCCAAATTGATCGATCACTTTATGCGGGTTATCCTTAAGGATAGCAATACACACTGATAAACATATGTGCCCACAATTAGATTTAATTAGATTTAAATCCAACAGTATGATTGATGAGTTTTCTGATTGGACCCGACAGTGGTTATTTATGGTGAAAATGGTTTGTGTCTATTTGTGTAAATGGATTTTTAAGGGATTGGAACTTTTGTGATGACTACGATGAACTGCATTACCTTTTCTTTTTTTATTATATTTGTTCTACTTGTTCATGAAAATGAATTATAGAAGGGGAGTATATTTCCTTGATAAGGGTTCTAATAGTAAAAAACCTAAAATGGGTCCATGCGTTTGATTCCATTTTCATTCATAAAAGTTCTAATATTTCATCAAAATGCAACCCTCACTTACTTTCATTTTATAGATGGGTGGAGGGTATGGCACCAGTATTCTCACGTTCTGCTTGGCGATGTGCTTGGCATCTTATTCAGGTACTGTGCAATTTCTGTGGCCTACATTAAGGTTCAGGTAATCTAAACCAAGTTGGTTATGTCTTATAACTTTCTTAGGTGTCTGTAATTTTAATCTTATCTTAGAAAACAAAGAACTGTGTTTTCTTGCTTGGTGCACTAACCATAGGCTTTCTTTCTTCGTACTGTATTTCAGCCATCTAAGCTTCCCAACTTGACAAGTTGTAAGATGGCTTCTAATTAATTCAAATAATCTTTTTATGAACGGAGTGAAAATGATTGTTAAGAGTTGCTTGCAAGAAAAATCATTTATTTCCTTGGCTTCCCCCAAGGTTGAACCTCATGACTTACCTCATCGACTTTTATGTATTGTACTATGAGTTTTGCAATAATTTCATAAGGACATTGGTCTAGTGCTGGAGGAGGAGGTAAGTAATCTATCAGAAGAGATTAATATCACTTAAGAAGCTTATTAGGAGGTACAGCAGCAATAGCAGTTGTAACTACATCAAGAAAAGCTCCCAAATTTCTGGTTGAATTTCACTATTTCATTTTCTCCATTCTGCTCTCCTATCACCTCTCTTACAGTTATCAACTATAATGTTGTTTTTACAGCTTTGATCCAGATAATCCGCAAAATTCTTTTGGTATATTTTTTTTCTTAATTTCTTGTATTTCTATTTTATTAATTTTTGGGGGGTGGAGAGTTATGTCGCAAATTGGGCTTGCTGCCACACTAGGAGACTCAAATGTCCTACAATAAATATGGCAACTGAATTTTTTTCTCCAAAAAAGGAGTGATTGTTTGTGTTCAATATGGAGGATGATTTTGGTAATATGTAAAAACTATCTGACAGTAAAAGGTACCAAGCTCAGCTACTGATTTACTGAACCCTTTTGCCTGATATGAATTAAATCATTATTTGCAAATAACATACTTTGTAACTTAGTTTAAAGAAACTACAAATGACTTTTGATGTTAATGTATATCTTATTGCATCATATAGTAATTGTAGGCATTTTTTGTGATACGGGTGTATCTTCTCTTCGGAACTTAGCGACCCTCATGGGAGCTTGAGGATAGATGATTCTCATAATAGCATGAGAATAGGGGTGTAAAACAGTTCAGTAGAACGCAGGTGAAAGCGCGGAACGAGACGGCGAGCAGCAGATTCGAAGAATCCAGTTTTCAGCTCGTGAGTCGACTCATACATGAACATGAGCCGACTCATCAGGTTGAGTCGACTCATGCCTGTCATGAGTCGACTCACGAAATCAAGCCCTGTTAGCAAAAATCTCTGACCAGTCGACTCATCAGTTATGAGTCGACTCATATGAGGTCATGAGTCGACTCATCTCAGTCATGAGTCGACTCATCGACAGTTTCCTGATTCGTTTGGGTTTCTGTTCACACGAATTCCTGTTGGTTTTGGGCTTGGTTATTTACCAGATTGCCATCCACGTTTGTACACCTATATAAAGGATTGATTTAGGGTTTTTAAGGAATCTGAAATTTGAGAGAGAGATTCTAATCAATGTATTAGGGTTTAGAGATGATTGAGAGGTTGTTCTCGATTCTAGTGAGATTGTGAGGGAGAGATTGTAATCTTTTGTTCTTCATAATCTAGAGAAGGTATTTTTCTTCGCCATACTGAGTTGTTTTTGTGTTTTAGTCATCTTCTTCTCAACCCACCTTTTGGTAATTCCGCGACCAAAGGGTGCTCGCACGGCGACTCGTATCATTTTGCTGAGAGTAAGCATGTCTGTAAAAAAAAATTATTGGGATAGCAGTTTGGACCAACAACAACAGCGATCTGCTGTAATATTATTTTGCTTGGTCTAGTAATTTGACAAAATTATTTTATATCATGCTTATTGCTTGCTTAAACCATCCTGGAAAATAACTTACTCATACGTTTATTATATTGCTTGACTTCTTTTCCCAGAATGATCTAATCCACGGGTGGGGAATGGATATGAAACTTGGATATTGTGCACAGGTTAGAATGCTCCCAATCTGTTGGTTAATCTTTACTTTGATGTTTATTGATGATTTTGATATATTTATAGTCATAGCCTTCCAATAAAAGAACGGTGAGCTATTGAGTTAAGACATCTTTTTACATGAAAATGTGGGTAACAAGAACAGCAAATGCTTCTATTCTATATATAACCAAAACTTTGAAGAAGTTGATTAGTTGAGGGAAATATTTTTATATTTTATCATAATGTATGCTTGGCCATGGATGCTGACTTTTGGATAATCTGGCATGCTAGCAGCTAGCCTCATTGTTGTTTGGCACAATTTTCTCTTATATTGGCTTGTCACATGATGACCACCCTACTCAGAGAAAGGTTAAACCACATGCACGGCTCAGAGCATGCCTAATGTGTTTTCATTCTCTCATTTTCCTCTTTAATACTCTGAATTACTATCCAAGTGTATGGGAACTTTGAAAAAGTGACTGGCACTAGAGTGGAAATCCATCATCCTATGCAGGACTACGTAACATCAATTTCAAGAATAAAGTAAGCCCATTAACATATAGCCCCTGATATATATAACTAAAAGAAAACCTCTCATCTTAAGTAACCTGTGACAGCTCATACTGGTGGTAACAAAGATAAATAGTAAGTCCCACTTGGGAAAGACGGTAATGACAACCATAATACCAACATCAACAATATTAATAACCTCAAGATATCTCTGACTCGGGCAATAACCATAATAGTACAAGGCTTTATATAAGCAACAATAATATATATTGAAAATATTTAACATTAGGGATGACGATAATAATAATGATAATACAAATATAAACCCACATCTGGACAAGATTAAAATTAACTCAACATGGATGAGATACATGGACATAAGACAAATGCTGGGTACTCCTAATGTAGGAGTTTACAGTCCTCCAATGGAGCAGCAATATAAATTTTCATTCAATGTGTGTTGTACATCAAGTCTGTACATTCCAATACATCTGGATACATATATGATGGTCCCTATATTCGAGGCTGGTTATAACTAAATACAAAATACAAACTCTAGAATGGACAAATTTTGGCATAAAGGGAACAATACAAAGAAGAGAATGTAATAGACACTTTTCTTTCTAACAGAGGCTATTCAAAATCGTCCTTCTAACTCCTTTTGACATACAACACATGCATAATGAGCAGATAATAAAAATGCCGATGATTCAATATTGCTTTCTTGATGACGAACAATGAAGGCACTGCTTGTGCTTATACACACTTCTCTTCCTACTTGTTGCCATGTTTATTCAACACTTACTGATGTATTTGAACCATATGTTCTATTCTCAGCTTTTAAAAATTTTGTTTGTAGGGTGATCGAACTCGAAATGTGGGAATTATAGATAGTGAATTTGTAGTCCATCAAGGTGTGCAGACCTTGGGAATGTCCTCCAATGTAAAGGTTATATGAACTTCCTGTTGTATGCCCTTAATCTAAAATTACTTCTTTAATATTATATCCTAACTAGTATTTTTGCCATGTCGAGCACGGGCTAGTGTTGCAGTTGACATGCTATTTTCCTCCCTTCATTGTTGGTTGCAGTTAAATTTGAGTTCTTTGTTTCCATATTTTGTCATGTAAGTTTAGGAGTGCATTGTTTAATTTGTAGATACCTTGAACATATTAATATGAACATGATAAATTTCCCATTAGGGCCATAACATTTCTCTTATCTATTGAAGTATAAATTATTTATATGTGATCCACGGATTTTTGTAAAAATATGATTGGAAGTTTGAATAGTTTTACATATAATTACCGACAAATCAATCATAAAATTAAAATCCTAGTTCGCAGAATTTTCTTATCTGGTTTTGTGGGTGTCCTGTCAAGTAGGAGCTCTCTCAAAAAGAGGAGGAAGAATAGATTTAAATCGGGGGAACACAAAGTACCACATTGAATTTGGACCTGCAAAAGAATCGCTCGAAAAGAGGAAAAATAGTTAGTGCAAATAAATATGAATAAATGAATCAAAATATGAAGAAAGCAGAACAGTTCATGAATAAATAGAACAAATGAGATGGGTATTTAACAAATCTGCTAAAGAATCAAAGGCACTGAGAACAGGAGCGACTTTCACATAATGAATAAAATGGGAAAGTAAAAGTAATAGAAACTACCATATGAGTTCTTCTTTTTAAAAGAAATTCCTTCAACTAATACCAACAATATACAGACGTGGGAATTATAGATGGTGAACTTGCCGTCCATCAATGTGTACAGATCTTGGGAATGTCCTCCTGTGTAATGTTTATATAAATGTGCTGTTGTACATCCTTAATTTAATAGTAGTTCTTTAATATTATATCCTAATATGACAGCTCATATGATTTTGTTGGTAATTTGATTTGAGTGAAGTGATTTGTTCGTAACTGAACATCTGTTTTCCACATAAGATTTTAGCTTTATCGAAATGTAGATAGTCTGAGGAGGCCTGAACTTTTGGCGCTCTATGAGCCAGGATCTGGTATAGAAATTGAATGTCCCAGTGTGCTTTAACATGGCAGGTAATGGTGAACTCTTCACCTTTCCATCAGCACACGAGTCATCAGCAGCATTCTACTTGAGTTGCCTATGTCAGATTCACAAATGGACAATCACAATGGCAAAGAAAATTTTACCTTCATATTGTCATTTTTTTCATTCTCTCTACCGCATGATTCCAATCAATCTTACTGAATACTTATTTGATACTTCGAGAGGTTGATGGAGGATGTGGGATCATTTTATATGCTTTCTGCTTGCGTTATCTTAGCTGTGTATATTTGACGTCCCTGCCTAGTCAATTCCTTATCGAAGTTTGACAGTAAATATGGATAATGTGATGCAACTTTATGATGGGATGATATTATTTTGAATAACCATGGTCTATCATCAAATCAAAAGGTCAACCAGATTGTGATAAATACTCCTGGACTCCTGGGTGACCAATAGTGAAGTAGATCGATCTGGTATTCATTTCCATCTATTTTATTCTTTTTTTTTTTTGAATACATTATTTGAGACTCAACCGTACAGGATTCAATATGATAGTTTAACTGCACATCTGCAGTTTGTTTATTTTGAGTTTTGGCTTTTTTGCTGCTTTTATATATGGCAACATTATGATAACTTTCCTTTTTTTCAACAGAAACACAGGACGGGGAGAGGGACATTGGATGCACGAGTAGAGGTTAGATTATTTGTTCTTGAGCCCTACTAGGTTACTGCTTCTACAAGGATCATTCTTTAGTTTTCACGTAATTCTATTTCCATGTATCGTGCTGCCCTTCAACTAAAATA